ATGTGCTTTGCGATGTCAAATGTGTTTTGCGATGTCAAATGTGGTTTGCGATTTGTCAAATGTGCTTTGCGATGTTCAAATGTGTGTTGACTTTTTAAAATGTGTTTTGTTAAATGTAAATATATGTCTAGAAAACTGGTAAATGTGTTTAAGAATCGTGAAATGCGCTTTGGTTTTCTTGTTTTGTGTTTTGCACTTATGGGCCACCGTACTGTCCAGATGGTAATTCATTTGCAGTAAACTCACAAGGTTCACAATTGGTGTTGCCTAGGATACCAACCAAATGACAAGTGCTTCCTGCTTTTTTTCAGCTAGTTTTAAGCCGTTCCAAGTCATCATTTGACACCTTCTCTCTTGTTGAGCAGTAGTCCTCCCTCTTCCCTTCTGGTATTGGGCGTTTACGTCCTTTTTGTCCTTATCATACGAATCCTGGGGGGAAATGAGGTCCTCAAAAAGCAGGGTTGCTTGTGTTGTGTTCTTTCTAGGGACATGCCACTTTGTAATTCCTCGGTGCAGGTTTTATCATCTGGTATATCTGAGAGTCCAAGTTCAATATAATCGAGAAGCTGATACAGAGTAGCTGCCACATGTTTGCAACAGCCACCAGCGCCAGCAGGGCTGTAACATTTTGCATAGGCAATATTTCCTGAATGTTGATTAAGGTGAACATAACCAAGGTACTGTTTTTTCTTCATTTCTGTATTTACATGGCACCGTACAAGAAAATGAACTGCTTCATTTCCTTTCTTTACATTGGGTTTCACCATAATCTGCCTTGGATAACCAGCTTTAAATATTTTGTATCCACTTTCTTGTGCTTCAATGCCTCACCAGGCTTGCCATCAGGTGTTTTTTTTTGCTTCTAGTACCAAATGGTCCTCCAATTTTTTGTACGAGAATCCAGGAATAAACTTCAAACTCTTTGTCCAACCATCCCCCAATGCTGCTAAATCCTTATCTGCCTCCGATGAAGTACCCGGCTCTATATCCATCAAAAAAATTTTATTATTTAAACCTATACCTTAATTATGTATTTCACTATTTACAAATTTAATCGTTATGGCCTGCCTGAAGATTAAAATACCTAAATTTACTATAAATAACTACATTTCAAAAATTGACTATATTATATTCTACTACCTTAAATGCAAATTTAAAACGGTTTTTCCTACGTTAATATAACTACGAGTTTAATATATTTTAAGCCTAATATTTTAATACTAAAAACCTACTTGTTTATTTTGACAGGAAATAAAGCGACCACAACAAAGGAAGCAGAAAAATAAGCGACAACAGAGGCAAAATGATTTCTCTTTGGCGTTTTTACAAAGTAACGGAGCCGGGGCAGAAAAAACCGGTTTGAACTGCTTTTAGTTCGCGCCAAAACATTTTAAGGTCTCTTTAAAACATTGTGTTTGAGCGCCATGCTGATCGAACGATCGACAGACATTTTGTCATGAATTAGTCGATTTCAACAAGCGAAAAAATCGGCAGGAAACACTCGATCGTTGTCAAAATACGAGATATACATCAAGAAACAACACACACAAATTTGTAGGTTAAAATGGTGAGCTGTCCGATGTTTACTAAGCGCGCTCACCTTAAAACGTTGGGAAGGCCCTTCCTCTTGGAACGTATTTATGAGCACACTGTTCGCTCCTCAGTTCTTCTACAGGAATTTTCTCGTCCATTTTCGATTCGATTTCGCTGTACTTGAGTCAAAACAAACTTTATAGCATTACAAAGTTCTCCCTTGTTTTAAAATTTTCAAACGTTACGAAAAAAGTGTTAAAAATAAACTATATTTCTCACATGCAAAATGCTCGCTCCACGGCGGCCATTTCGCGCGCAAGTGAAGGTTACCATTTTTCCCATGATGCTTTGGTAACATGCAAGTTGCCTATTGGAGGATATGAAATGACATCTGATACGAATAAATCACTATTTAAAGTGAGGTGATTTAATTTTGATCCAGTCCAAGGACTGAATCCTAGGACTGGATCAATATACTTCACCAGGTATCCAGTATTATCATGTGAGCAAAATGAAGCTATATGATTGGATAATTTACTGATGAATTATTAATGAGTTTGAGATTGTTCTTTCCTATTTTGATCATCAAACTGTCCGTTTGCCAACACGTTTGGCTGTATTTTTCCAGAGTGCGCACTTTTTCTAACCTAGCACCAGGCGATTTTATTTTAAAATTGTTGGGGCGACTTTCGGTTTAGGTTTCACTGAGTGTTTCTAACTATTTACGTCGCAGTGAACCTTACTTAGATACTTTCTTATTTTACTCTGTTTAATGCCAGATGATATTACTCGTGAACGGGAAAATGTTGATGAATAGGTTAATTGCGCTATCTTGAAAGATCTTTTCTGCACTTCACTTGGTTGAAACTGAATGTTGGAGTATAGATGGATAATCCAAGTGACGATATATTTACACTTTTGATACCTAACCAGGAACAGTTGCGAAAAATGCAACACTAGGTCCTGTGGCAACACCGCGGAAAAACGTCTGCGCATGCACCAAATTATGAAAATATGGCGGGGAATTTGAATGTCAATTTCTAAAACAAAAACATGCTTATTAATTGGTCAAAAATTAGTAAAACAAACGAGAAATATAGCAAATGGGCAGACTAGACATTAATTGAAAGCGTCCTGGCATTTAAAGTATGGGATAAAATATAATTCATGTAAAAAAATGTTGATTTTAATGGATACGACTTCGAAAATTTTTGCAAAATTATTCAAAACAAAAATTCAAACTAAAAAGTTAAGAAAACTCTCGAAAAGTTAAGCTTCTTAACCCACTCAAATTGTAGAATAAATCCTAAAGTTTAATTATTGTGAACACGCAAATTTTTTATATTTGGCGACACAGTTTTCAGTAAAGAAATGTATCTCAAACGAAAATTCGGAAATTGTCATTGCTTAGTTGATAAACAAAATGTTTCAGACGATAAATTTGTCAACAATCACCTTTAGTTCATGTTCTTGTACAATACAATTTCTTGAACCTTCTGGCTGTGTTTATTTCTAGTTTTTAGAATGACATGTTTATTTTTGCGCTTGAAATCTGGCTGTAAAGACGCACAATGAAGTCACTCCTTTTTACCGCCATTTTGAGCCTTCGGAAACGTTCGGAACAGCTTCTCATCAAGTTCGTAATACTATTACAGGTAAGGTTGACGCATGCGCAGACGTTTTTCCGCGGTGTTTCCTGTGGCAGGAATCGAACCTGCGATTTATGTGCAGTATTCGACAATTTCATTATTCACTGGTATCACCAAAATATCTTGGACAACTGTTCCAACAAGAGTGACAAGACGATACCCTCCAGGGAAGGTTGACAGGTTGGGTTAGGAAAAACACAGTTAAGAAAGTAATATCACAATTGTTGTAAAGATAAAAAAGACAAGGGTAAGTTTGTAATCAGGTAAACGTATAATGCTTGATGTAAAGCGCATTTGATTATATCCACATGTAAATTTGCGCTATAAAAATATTAATTTTAATAATTAATTCACACAAGATATGAGACAAGCTAAAATTGGTTAAGGGTAAACATTGAGTCCGTTCCCTCTAAGATCTCTTGCAAAATTCCTACTGTGATCACAGGCACTTTGACAGTGTAAGCCAGCCTTTAGGCAGCGTAAAAATCTTACAGATTCGAGCATTTGGGCTACAGAATAACGCCATTATGGTTTATCGTTTCGTGTATTTTGTTTCAAGGTAAATAAACATACAAACTCGTTGTACTTGTATCTCAGTGAGTTCCATATATATCTGGAGCGAAAACTCGAGTCCAAAAGTCAGCTTCTTTTTAACCGCGCAGATAAAGACAATAGGAAGGGTCTGGAACTGACGTCCAATATAGCTCGTTCAATTTCCGCAATCTTGGAAAGGAGTGCGCCGACATTTCGTATTTTGACATCGATTTAAAGAATAACAATATTGGTTTTATGAACTGATAATTTGGTTAACGATACGGTCCTTTAGAAAGACACTGGAATTTGTCAGCTGGGGAAAATAACATTAAAACTGTTTACGACCTTCATACTGTAGCTGTTGCACGTCAATGGCCGCCATCTTGGCTTCACTTTTCTC